GCTTCCCCGCCTCGCAGTCAACTCTCGTATGCATATTTACATGTGCACACATATACACTAGAATTAAAATAAAGCAATGCAAATGCACGTACAAGCAATCCGATGCAAGAGGCTTTCGCAACATCAACCCGAGAGTCTTTTTTTATTGCGGCATTTTCTTGGAAAAGCAACTAAAGTTATGTTCCTGATTAAAATTGCAAATGCTTGTGTTCCTTTCAAAGTAAATTGATGCTAAAATTGTTCGTGGAAGCAAACTTCAGTATCAAGTTTCAGATTTTAATTGACAGGTTGAAAGTTTTATTTTACAAATTGAAGATGGAAGAGTTTTTGTTTCATAAAATTAATTTTATTAATTAATTAATATAATATTCACATTTTAATTTTCAAATGCATGTTTTATAAATTTAAGTAGACCAATATAATTAATTGGATTAAAATTAATTACATAGAACACGTTTTCATTCTTAGAATTCTTCTAAAAAAATAACAGTAAATAAAATCTTGCCTTTATTTCAAAAGAAAAATTTGAACAGAAATTTTCACGTAATAAAAATTTACAATGTGTGCGTAGAAAGGTCATCAACATTGCGCCAAACCTGCACGTTTTCTGTGGTGCTCCAGGCCAAGTTATGACTCATAAGGTACCAGATTGTTTTGCTGTTCAAACTTTGCTACGTGTTCTCGCGCGATTGTAATTCAGGCGCTGGGTTTACGAGTGCGATGCAAAGAGAGAGATACAGTCAACTGGTTTCGGCTTTTATATTGTGCAGTTTGGTCTCTCAACAGCCAGCGTTTATTATGCAAAAGTGGTTACATGTAAATTGTGCGCCCGGCTGCGGCAGCGGCAAAGCAAAGAGACTATGATTACGTGCACACGACTTGCCGCGCCCCGTAATTGAATTTTCTCTATCGCCGGAGAATAGGTTGAAGAAGAGAATGTGGGCCAGGGTTTGGAGAAAAAGTAAGGAAAAAAAAAAACGTTTTATGAAGTTAAGTTTTTTTAGTTCTTTTTTCGTAGCAAATAAAATATGAGAGAGTTGTGAAATCTTGAAAGGATGATAGTTGAATAAATCATTTTTAAATTTTTCTAAAAAGTTATTATTATTTTAATTTTATATTCAAAAAGTTAAGATTGTTGATGGAATGAACGCATGGGCAATTAAGCTCCTTCATGATATGATTTCCATGAAAATTTAATTCAGAAATTTTTTCTTTGAATTATTCAGGCCAATTTTAAATTTAGATTACTCGTTATGAAACAAATGATCAAAAAAAAACAAATAAAACTCCATAAAAGAATTACTAAAGTCCATTGAAGTTTTTTCAGCGAATCACATCAATCATGGATGGCAAACGAATAATTTTTCTCGTCTGTCGTGAAGCCAATTACGCGTTTCCAGCTGCATCAGCTTTTTTTATAACTGTCAGTTTTCTGATCTAATCAATAATACTTCTTCGATTCAAACTTCAAACATTCATTAATGTTTAGAGAAGTCGTGGTGGGTTAGTCTTCCTCAAGAAGTTCAAACATTGCAATTTAATTGTAAATTACATAATTTTTTTCTTACAACTGCTTTATTTGCTCTTATTTTCGGTTCATAAAAAAATATGATTCTTTTTCATTCAAAATTTCAGTTTATTAAGTATGGTATGATTATTAATTTTTTTATTAAATGTATTGAAAAAAATATTAAAAACTTTCTAACAACAAAAGTAAGACGACAGATTTAAAGGCTTAGTGTGTCAAGAAAATTAATGTATTTTAGTCGATGGAAATTTATTGGGTCGTTACGTTAATGATCATACTTCATTTACAGCCAAAGTTTCATTCGACCGACACCTTTCGCAGATGGTTCCCCTTTTAAACGGCCCAAGTTTTTCACCTGGATGACCTCAGAATAGATGGATATAAACAGCGCCCATTCATGTCGTGCGCAAGCTACCGCAGTTTTCAATTAGCACATAAACGAGCGAGGGAGGCCTGACCGAGTTAATGAGCTCGTCGGCTCTCTCGTCGTTGCTTGAATTTTCACATGAGCAGGTGCAAATGCAAAGCAGTTGGGCGTTTCAATCGAGTTTTGGTATAAAGCGGCTGATCGATCGGAGAAATTTGTACGTTTAACTGGAAGCTAAATTAATAAAAAGTTAAAAACTTCAATTAAAAAAAAAAAAAAAAAAAAATTAAAATTGTGGTGATTTGAATTTAAAAATCGGCTTTTCCTCGATGGATTTTTGTGAGTTGTTTATTGCTGCAGAAAAACAATATCCTACTCTACATGTTTCGGCTGCGGGCTGCAGCCATAATTCATGACTACGAAAACATTTTGACAAAAATTAGTACAAAAATAAATCATTTTTCAAAAATTATTTTTCTTTCCAAGTGACAATTTTTCGTTTTTTGATGAAATGTTGATTTCAAATTTTCACGAAAAATTGTCAATTGGAAAGAAAAATAATTATTGAAAAATGATGTATTTTTGTACTAATTTTTGTCAAAATGTTTTCGCAGCTCATGAATTATGGCGGCAGCCCGCAGCCGAAACATGTAGAGCAGGATATTGTTTTTCTGAAACAATAAACAACTCACAAAAACCCATGGAGGAAAAGCCGATTTTTAAATTCAAATCACCATGAATCAACCCATGATCGTGAAATTCTACCAGAAAATTAAAAATTGCTTGTTAGTTATATAAATTTATAAAATAAAATTATTTATATTTTATTTTTAAATAATATTTTTTATTTTAAAATAAATTTTTTAAATTGTATTATATTTATTATATAAAGTTAATTTTATAAATTAAATTTCTAAAGATCTTTATTGATGTTTGTTGTAGAGGTGGCGGAAACGAATCATATTTTATGATTTTATTTTTTTATTATTTCGATAAGGTCTTTGTAGTTGAATTTAGTATTATGCTATTTTTCAGTAATTAATATGTATTTTTTGATTAAGTTTTCCTGCTTAAATGTCTTGTCTAGCCCCACCATAACTTGCAATTTCCAAATGGCAGTGCCGAAAGTTGTTGAAGTAAACAAACTAACGCAAACCTACACGCATGTTATTAACCTAATGCGAGGCGGCAGACGCAGAAGTCATTTTCATCGTGAAAACGCCCAGAGAGAGCTCACGAGAGCATTGTGGTGCGATGCTGCAAGTTTGTTGAGCCATAAAAATGAGGTTAAGCTCGGCAACCCGGGCTCATTATTCATCGTACAAAAGCAGAGGAAACGCTGCAGGACGGAAAGCAGTGGAAAAACGAGAGAGACAAAAAAAAACTGGATCCTTTTAGCAACAGCACATCCAAAAATAGAAATTAGGTCTTTATTTTTTACTTTTGTTTGGAAAATTTTCCGTGCCCCAAATATGCAGAGTTGGAAATTTAATGTTACAAAAAAAAAATTATTATATAATAATGGATAAAATTATTTTGAAAGAAAAAGTAACAAGAATTATTTCAGCGTACTTTCAACGAAAACTATGCAGGCGTTGTCTGGCAATCCGCCACACTTTGGAGACGCGCGGGTTGCCTAAGCTTCACTCAGATGGCACTTCGGTCTCCAAAAGTGCTCTGCATCTTTGCTGTTTTATCAAATTTTATCATTATATCTAACGTGTCGACCGTCGTGTAAACTTTCTCTAGGGAATAAATCACTTAACTTTTACGACAGAGCCAATTTCTGCTGAAGGATGAAAGGAACCGCCGGGGTTGATTTTGATTAAAAGCACATAATATCCGCTTAGCCTTTTTTGTGCTTCGGGACGCAAATTTAGCAGAAAACGTGCACATACTGTACATCTCATTCAGTCAGTCTGGCGGGTCCAATTTCGCCGACTCGGCGGCTTTTCCGCGTGTGGGTGGCCGCTTGGTTGGGTGCGGTGCTCGTGCACGGCCAGTCTGTTTTTTATTGATCAATCACTGCTTCTACGTAATGGAAGGGAAATCGCCAACCATTCATACGTTTCACTTCGTCCCAGTAAACAAATGTACAGACAGAATCCACTTTTTCTGTGTCTGAGCAAGATGATGTTTTTCATCACGTGCCACCTTTAACTTTTGGAGAAGGCTTGAAAGTTATATTTTAAATTGAAATCCACAATATTACGATTGTTCAGAGAACAAAGATTTTATCCATTTCTGGATTTTATTTTTTAAATCATCTACATGTAATTTAATCTATTAAAAGTTTTTCAGAAAACAACTAACACAGTTTGAATGCATGAAGGATGGTGAAAAATCAAACACTTTTCAATTCACATGGCCTAAAAGATTATGAAATTTATATTTCATTTTTTAATTTTTAATGTTAAAAAAAAATGGTTATAGAGATTATTGGGAGGGATTGAATTTGAATTAATATCTTAATTATTTGCACTTTTAATATACATACATGTCTCGTAGTTATAAACTCAGTTTAACTATTCCACTACAATATATCGTTCCTCGTGTCGAATGTGGTTCTATCAATCTTGAGGGTAAGTGGCAGTCTGGTGCGCCAAGGAGTTTTAGTACTTCCATCTAGCCCGTCTCATCTGTCTCTTCAAGCTCCTGCCTTTCCCGGTGACAAAATATGATAGAGGTATGTCGCACGCAGGCCTCTTTCGCCGCCGTTTGACTTTCTGCCCGTGTGCGCTTTAACAGCGGACGACCTTTTCATCTTTATTGAATTTTCTGCCAACTTTCGCGCCTGAGAGAAAGTGACTGATGATGAGGCGGATGCCCAATATTCTCTTTGAATGCACAGAAAATTTGCGCGAGAGAAAAGTTGCCCACTAGACTTTTAGGTCATTAATTGAAAGGCAAAATGAAACGTTTTAAAAGAAGGCGGCTTTTAATCAACGAGTGTTTGTTTAATTAGGTTTATTTTTACACTTTTATTTTTATTATATACTTATGCAAAAAATTGTTTTCAAAAATTTTATACTATCTTAAATTTGAGCAACGATGGCACAAACAATCAACACTAATAAATTATATTTCCTTCATTTAATAAAAACAACTAATTTTTATCAAATTCAGTTTATTAACATTAAAAATTTTAAACCAAAACCGCTAGCAAATTTTAAAGACGTAATAATTTTATTGGGAGTTTGTGACATTAGTTGAAGCAACGCTGGCGCGAGAAGTTGTAGATTCATGAGTGGTGGTAGAATCAGCTGAAGAATTTGAAATTGGAAGCAGGGGAGCCGCGCCTCTGAGCAACATCAGCGGTTGAATGTTGATTGCCATTCGGGTGGTGCTTTGACTTTGGAAGGTGGTATTTGCAATATTGGTATCGAAAATCATTAGCGCTTGTGAGTCATTTGAAAGAGGTGGTTTGGTCGTGGAAGCTACCGGACCTGGCATTGCCCAAAGTGGAAGGGAAGCTTTCTGCAGGGTAATGACCGGTTTCATAGGTAGATTCTGAGCAGGAGGAGCTGGAAAACCGGTAAAATATGGAGGCTTACTGACGTCCAGACTTGCAGTTGATGGACCGGGTGTTGACTTTGTTGTCTCTAAAACACTGTTGACAGCTGGTGGCGCTGGCACACCGCGCAACAACATTGCCACTGGCATTATCGGCTTTTGAGTTGACACAGTTGTTTGTTTTGATGTCTCAGGCCCACTTTCCACTGCTAGGGGTTGTGCTACACCTCGGAGCAAAGGATTCATTGGTTCGGCTGGAGGATCTATTACAGGAGCAGCACCCCGCATTAACAGGAACGCTGGAATTACAGGCTTTTGGGTTGACACAGTTGTTTGTTTTGTTGTATCTGGAACTGTGTCCACTGCTAGGGGTGGCAAAGCACCTCTGAGTAAAGGATTGATTGGTTCAGCTAGAGGATCTGCTATAGCTGGAGGAGCACCACGCAATAAGCTAACCACTGGCAATATTGGCTTTCTAGTTGTGGTAATCGTAGATGTTTGTTTTGTTGTATCTGGAACACTGTCCACTGCTAGGGGTGGCAAAGCACCTCTAAGCAAAGGATTCATTGGCTCAGCAAGAGGATCTGTTATAACTGGAGGAGCACCACGCAGTAAGCTAACTGCTGGCAAGATTGGCTTTCTAGTTGTAGAAACTGTAGATGTTTGTTTTGTTGTATCTGAAACACTATCCACTGCTGAGGGTGGTGCAGCACCCCGCAGTAAAGGATTCATTGCTTCAGGAAGAGGGTTTGACTCCTCGGCTGGAAGATCAAATAAACATGGAGTTGTACCACGCAATAAAGGTACCGTTAGTTCTGTAGGCTTGGTCGCTGTCGTAGACGTTTGTGTTGTTGGCTCTGGAGTAGTGGTCACTGCAAGGGGTGGTACAGCACCACGCAGCAAAGGATTCATTGGTTCAGGGAGAGGTTTTGTCTCCATGACTGAGGGATTATTTATAGCAGGAGACACTTCACGCACTGTCACTATAGGCTTTTTGGTTGTCGTAGCTGTTTCTTTTGTTGTCTCTGGATCTGCGATTTCTACGGATGGTGTTTGAAATTTCAACATTTTATTACCAAGAATAATCGGAACTTTATATTCCTCGGTTGTTAAATAAGTCTTTTTCGTCGAAAGTAATGAGTCGTCTACTTTTTTAATTGTTGATATCCGAGTAATTATCTTGAATTCGGAATTTGCAGCTTTCTTAGCTGTGGCGCTGGTAGGTCTTTTTGTGTTTGTCTGGTTTGCTGCAGTTGGCTTATTTTGCAGAATTGATTTATTTGGATTCTTGGAAGTTATTTTAGTCGTAATGACCTTTTTCTGATTCTTCGTCTTGTTTTTGTTCGCTTTAGCGCCGTTAGTTTTCTTTGCGTTTGCTGCAACCTTCTGATTCTGCCTTGCAACAGATCTTTGATTCGCATCTTTGCCGTATGCAGAATGCACTTCCATGGCAATTATAGTCATTATCAAAAGCGGCCATACCTTAAAAGAAGATAAATAATTTGAATAATGAATGGTATAAAGGGAAATAAAAATTTAATCTTTAAATTCTGTAAGTTGATTTTATTTTGACGACACGAATTAACCATTTTTCATTACTATATACTTGTTTAAAATTATTTAATTTCAACACAACACAAAATCTCTGTAGAAAATTATTGCTCTCAATTTGTTAAAAATCCATCATATAAAATATAATTTAATTTGAGCTTCTAAAGTTTGTTAAAATTTGCTTAAGTATCTCATTATAATATATTTTACATAAAAGGAGCAAGTCATTCTTACCCCGATAGTTTTCATGGTTCTTCACAAAGTGATGACTATTAGGTTGAGTGCAACCTAGACCACAACAATAACGGACTTCCGCATCAGTTAGAACGTTTTGTGTGCGCTTTTTCTAAATAACAATGATCGCACAAATTGATAATAAAACTGCAGGATGGACACGCTCTTTTCAAAACCATGATGACAGGTATAGATTATCAATCTAGATAAAAAGGCTCGTATACGTACATTAATTTTTTCTTATTGTCTATATAGCGAAGCAGGAAATTAAGTTTTGCATGTAAAATTGAAATTAAAATTGCTTTCATTACCGTCGGAAATTAGTCAAACTAATTATTTTCCAGCTCTTTCATTTTATTTCATTAATTAAAATGCAGATTTTTGAAGAATGTCACTTAATAAATTTTTGTGGTCATTAAAAAAATATCCGATAAATAAACCAGGTACTTTTGTATGAAAATTAAAAATGATTCTCTTGAGAGGCAATGAAGAGACATTAATTAAAATCTATCAATAATTCCCACGGGTGCAACGTCGGCTGTCGCAATCAACAAATCGTCACAGCAGTCTGGGCGATGAGGGTGACGTCACCAGGCAGGGGTGCATCCACCCTTTGCCAGTCAGTCAGTGGGTTTTGGCGAAAGTCGGCCGGCTGGCGCTCTGTGGGTGCAGCTGCAGAGGCACGCCCCCTTTTGCGGCGCAGGGCTTGGTCCTCGCGCTGCTGCACCCCCGCGCCCTCCACCCTCCTTTCGCTCTACCCATGCACAATCAATAAGAGCATCAGCAGCCACTGGCGAAGCAAAAGCGGCCGGAGGAGTCTCTCGTTTGGTTGCATGGTCGCGGCCACGATAAAAGTCGAAGCTGCCGGGCTGAGCTGCTAGCTGGTTTTGCAACGGGCACGCACCGGGGCCCCCCATTTGCCCCCCGAAAAAGATGTTCAGATCCGTCTCGGGGCCGGCCTGTTGTTGTTGTTGTTGTTGTCGCCCGAGCCCAAGGGGACTCCGGTCAGCCGGCCGACTATTGGACTTGCAACACTAGGCTCTCGCAGACAGCAGTCTAGATAATGTTTGTGCGATGGAAGAACCGGAACAGCAAGACCAAGAAGAAAAGGAAGCTTGGAGGTAACTAAATATGGAGCAAATTTATTATCGACTGCTTTTACTCGTCTTGTTTGTTCATAAGATCCAAAAATTAATTTATAAAAAACATATTTCCTGATAAAATTAATTATATAATCTTTCTATAATTTTTAAAAATTAATAAAGGTAAAAGAAGCAATTCCAGTTTTGTTTGTATTCTGCAAAAAAATCCGATTTAGTCGAGTCAACTAAATAATTTTGTTACTCTCTCTTTGCATTCACATTACATTAATTCGTGGACATTCTCTTTTCAATTAACAAAGCAGTGTCAAACCGTCTATTCTCATTAGTTTCAACCGAAGCAAACATTTTCACTCACAGAGCCCTTTCTCAAAAGTACCCCAGCATTATTCTTTGAAGTCGTTAAATCTGCTTGCAGAGCGCCTCACAGGCTTATTAAAACAGTCACTTTATTCCATGGCCTTTCGTTTGCCTTCTAACAATCAAGGATAATTTTGTGGCTGAAAGAGTAAATTATTTAAAAAGAAATATTGCAGATGCAGTTAAATTTTCCAACGTACAAAGGAAAAGGTTTATAAAAATTGTATTTATCGGTTCACTTGGGGAAAAATTGTTCATAAAAATATTTTTTTTATTGGAATGCAATTTTTTCCTTCACGTTTCAGTAATTTCTTGCTGATTGATTTATTTCCAATCGAATATTAATTATTCAATTAGAAATACAAAATGTAAGCAAAGTTACTAATTTCTGCAGAACGTATTTAAAAAGTCTGTTTCTCCTTTGATGGAATTTATTTATTTTAACGACTCCAAGTCAAATATTTCAGCAACTTATTTTGGAGCTTTTGTAATCGTGATTGTCAAAGCCGCGTTGCTCAAGTCGGAAGGAAAGAAAGAAGTGGCTTCTTAATTAATAAATTCTCTCTCGCGCTCTCGTCAACCCCTTTTTCTCTCTATTGTTTGAGCCGCACGCGAAGACACTTTCGCCTTGCCTTCTTTCTCCCCTTGCATTATTTTTTTTTTTTTGCTCGTTTTTTCCTACGCGACGCCGGGTCTTTAGTGCCAAGCACATACGCATGTTATTAAAAGGGTTATTCCACCACGTTTGCTGCTTTTCAAACTCATATATTGATGGCAGCGAGCGAGGGCGCGCGACACACCCACGGCTCACTCCAGGGGTTGGAGGAAGAAAAATGTGCCCTCGTCGGCAGCCAACCCTCATTTCCATTCGCAATCAGCGGTCTTTTCGACGCCTCCAGAGACCTCGATTAATTGGTTGCGTTTATCCGTAAAAATTATTTTGCCGCAGCATAAGGCGCGGAAAGATTGGCAAAGGGATTAATTAATAGAGAATACTTGAGAGGTGGAAAAATGTTTTAAATATTTTCCTCCATAAAATAAATAGTTATTTGACAAAAAAATTTTAAATTATTCGTGAAGAATTTTTATGACTCCGTTATTAAAACACTTAAAAACATTAAAAATAAATGAAAGAAAGTATACAATTTTGATTAAATCATGGAAAATTTATTTGGAATCCTAAAGTATCATTTAATAAGCATTAAATTGCATATTATACTTTTTACATAATTACATTTTTTGCCTTTATTTTTTGCTCAATTTGAGCTTCTTCATAATTTGTGCTATCCAATGTTAAGGCTTAATTATTACTGCTTCTTAACATGAAAAATATAATTGTTCTAAATTAATAAAAAAAAGGATCAAAGTTACTTTTAAGTCAGGAGAGTGCATCTCAGTTTGTTCTTTTATTAAATTCTGGAAGGATTTTAATTTAAATTACTCAATTAAATTTTATACCATAATAAAACAAATACTTCGAATAAGGAAAGGATGCAGCGGACTTTAAGATATTACTTCAACTTTCACTCAGTATCTTGTGCGTGGGATGCCATAATTTAAAACAAGCAGATAAAAATAATTGTATATTTACAGTTTTGTCAGTTTTTTTAATTAATTATTTTTCTATTTTAATGATAAGCGTCAAGATTAAAAAAAAAATACTATTAAATATTAAATAATAAAAATCAGCTTAAAACATAATAATAAAATAAATATTATCTTGTTAAAAATATTACATAAATTAAAAATATATTAATTTGATGGTGGTGTCTTATAAAATGAATTTAAAATGAATAGCGTTTTACGTAAAATTGAGAGTAAAATTAAATAGACGTTTTTAAATTTACTCTCTACGACTGCCTGATATTGACAAGGGCGTTTTGTCTTTGCATCACTATAATATTCCTCCGTGGCCTAATTAGCCGTTGAGGCAATGAGGGTTGCTTTTAAACGCGCGCCAGATTGCAGAGGGAGACCCGCCCTCACTTCCGACGCTGCACTCGCGCGCAGACAGGACACCGTGTACCGAGAGCCAATTTCGTACTTAAGGTCGTGCCCGTGTCATGGCGCACAAGTAGCAAAGCAAATTCGCCATCGCAGGCGGCTTATTTCGCGAGACGCCATTCAATTGCTCGGTGTATTTATTTAGCACGGAGTGGCGACTGCAATATTGCGGCGCTCCTTTGACTAGAGAGAGCAGAGAGACGCCGTCCTATTTGTCTGCGTGCCAAACACACAGCTTTTCGGATAAAAATCGCCGCATAGCAAAGTCGGGCTGAGAGAGCGAGTGGCTCTTTTAGATTCAGTGGTACCTTTTGAATGGAAAAGCCGCCTGTACGTGACATTTCATATCTAATTCATCAGAGAACCATAAACAATTTTGTTTTGCAGAAGGCTTGGAAAAAATACTATATCGAATAATTTTTTACTTCCCAGTTCATTCTAACAATAAGCTGGTGAAAAAACCAGTATGACTATTTTCTGCAAACGCAAGTTTATTTTGACAACGTATCTTAGCAAATTGAATGTCATTCTGAAAAAAAAAATTGATAAAAGACCACTTTCATTTAATATTTTATTTATTAAAAACTAATTTTTTTTAAATTTTCTCAGTTTCAAACTTTTTATATAATTTTATTATAATTGTTGTAGAAATTCATTTTCAAATTAATTCTGTTTGATTATAGTTTTATAAAATATCTGAAAATTTCATTGAAAGCTTAATGCATTAATATTTTCAAACAAAAATTTACTTTCATATTCCAATCAAAGCGTAAATTCTTTCAAAATCAGTACTGTCATTAATTTGATTCAAAGAAATCAATAAAATTGAACTAAATTATAATTGTGTGCTATTAAATATTACTTGGAGCCAAAATCGACATTTCTTTGACTATTTCAACTAAAAGATAAATCATAAAAATCGAACTTTTCTAGCACAACGAGTCTGTGCATCGTTTTATTGCAATTATTTTCTAAAATCAAGTGACGATATTAATTGAAAATTGCCCAAATTGACTGTTTAAATTTTTTCACTAGCTATTATACTAAAAATAGGACCTTTTTTAACTCTTTCTTATGCAAAATTTTTATCTTCTGTACCAAATCAATATGTACAAATTTCCAAATTTTATTTCGAGCAGGTTTCAACTCTGAAAACTTTTTAACTTTGGTGGCTTATCTGTCTAGTCATGACCCTATCGTTCTTCAGGGTCAGTCAGATTTCCTCTTCTTCTTTGTCTTGAAGAAGCAGTTGCAAAATTCATTCCATTAGGTACGTACGCAGTCGACGCCGCCTGCGCTAAACGACTTTTTGAGTGAAATATGTTCATTGGGGCGTGAAGAGAAACTTTTTGGTGTTTCGGCCCGAGTGATAAATGAACTTTAATTCATTTCCCAGGCCGACACTGTTATTTTGCACAGGCAGATTTGCGTCGGCCTTGTCTCGTGGCTGCCGCCGTGATTAATGCCTCGGGCGGGGGATGCTTGTGTGCGTGCAAATAATGCCAGGGCGAACTACTCCCTCAAGATTCGCGCTTCATAGAAGCTTCGTTATGCTTTGATCGCATTAATTTTTGCCCGCCAGCT